CTCCTTCTGACTGGACATGAGGTGTCAGTTTTGCCGCGACACTAATGCTTCAGTGTGAACAGCACTGTGTGCTGCCATGTGCAGAATTTTCATAGGTGTTTGAGAAGCTTTAAAAACGCTTCCTAAAAGCCTATCTGATGCCTGTGAGAAAGCTAGTGTGAACGTAGCCTAAAGGAGCAGCAACACATTTTTACCAAGTCTGCTCACTCTGCTCTTTCCTCCTGTCAGCACATGTGCATGTAGCAGAGCCTGATTGGCCCGTTGTGCTGCCCCTCCCTCTTCCAGCCTGAGTGTTGCTATTAGGAAATTACAGTAGGCTAATATCAAGACTTATGCCGGCCACAGACGGGTCGAAAATTGGCCAATGTTATGGCCGAAAAAAAAATCAGCCAATATCAGGGGCGGACTGACAACTCATGGGGCCCCTGGGCAATAGGGGATCATGGGGCCCTTGTGTCCTCGCCCACACTCAAACCACACCCAAAAAAGCCTATGAAAGGTACCAGGGGCATCTCATGGGGCCCCCTATTGACCCCAGGCCCTCGGGCAGTGCCTAAGTTTCCAAATGGTCAGTCCGCCCCTGGCCAATGTTCACACTGTTAGTGGGTTAATTGGTCGGCTGTTTTTCTGTTTTTTTGCAGTTTTTCTATCCATCATTTTGGAAAATTTGCTGCAGATTTGGATGATCGGCCAATTTTCCCCGGCAATGATGGGCAAATCGGCCGATCATTTTACTGAGAAAAAATCTGCGCCTGAGCCATGACAGGAGGAAGAGGAAGTCCGCTATTATATTTTATATGAAAAAGTCTTGCAGTTGCAACAAATGTATCCATTTGTATCCAAATAAAAAACACAATGTATTTGTATTGCTGTCACATTGTATGGTGTGCTCCCCTGTCTCTGTCAAACTGGTTTCTGGTCCCATTCTTTCGTGAGCATTGGTGGCAGCATCGGCAACGGCACCGACCGATTTTTTATTTATCGGCCGCTAAATGACCCGTCTATGGCCTGCGTTATGCTGGCTGTGTACAAAAAAAAATATGTAATGAGTTTAGTGAACAAACAATTAAACGCTGAGCTTTATTGTCTGCCAGGATTTCGGTTTATCTTCCGGGTGCCAAAGAACGTCACTTTTTCTTCCCATTTGTTTTCGCCTCTCTGCATAATAGATTTAATATTAAAAAGAATGGCGCAATATCATTTCCAAGTAAACATTATCATCTTTAGTAATTATATTTTGTGATATAAAGACGCATCGCTGATTGATGATCAGTTTCCTTGTTAATTGCCATTTTCAATAGCCGGTTTTATTAGAAGCATCACTTGGGCGATACATGCCCCTATACATTTTCCCAGCAAAATTGTTCAATGAACAAAAAAAAAAGAGACTTTTTTTCTTTTCTTTTTTTTCCCAAGGAGGAAGTGATGAATTAGCAAGACCATTTTTCCCTGGGACGAAGTATACTTCACACTCATTTTGCTTTGTAATTAAGGGGAAAGTCAGAAACATCATTTATACATGAAGAATTTAATAGATATATTTTTGCAGTTTTACACATTAGCTGGGGACAGCACATTAATGAAATAAGTCTTCCTTCAGGGTCAATTTAGATGGGCTGTAATCTTCTGCAAATATATTGGAAATGAAGCTCATTTAATGATCTTAAAACTAACTGCCAGCAGACAATTGCTCATAACTCTCACAAAACAAGAAGGATTCTGGGCCAGCTGCACTAACTTTTAAGTTACCCAGAAGTACATGCAATTCTGTGCAGTATTTCTAAATAAAGGACCATACGCTGCATGGCCCTGGGGACACCTGACCAGGGGCAGACTGACCATTTGGAAACTCAGGCAATGCCCGAGGGCCCGGGGTGGATGCCCCTGGGACCTTTTCATAGGCTTTTTTGAGGTTTGGCAGTTAGGGGCCCCATGAGATGCCCCTGGTACCTTTTCATAGGCTTTTTTGAGGTTTGGCAAGGACACAGGGGCCCCATGGTCCCCTATTGCCCGGGGGCCCCATGAGTTGTCAGTCCGCCCCTGCACCTGACCATCACACCTGGAAAGAAGGGACATAGAAGAGTGATGGCAGAAAAAAGACCAAGTAGTACATCGAGTGCACTATTTTTTTTAATATACTGTATATTTGTTAACTCATATATACTTTTTTTTTCTACTTTTTTGGGGTACAGATCTATGTTTGTCCAAAGCATGTTTGGCAAGGACGCAGGGGCCCCATGGTCACCTATTGCCAGGGGGCCCCAAGTGTTATCAGTCCGCCCCTGCACCTGACCATCACACCTGGAAAGAAGGGACATAGAAGAGTGATGGCAGAAAAAAGACCAAGTAGTACATCGAGTGCGCCATTTTTTTTAATATACTGTTTTGTTTTTTTTTTCCAAAAAACAAAGTTTATTGATTGAAAACAAGATACAAATTATCACACGAAAATGTACAGATGAAGTGTACATAGGACATGCAGCAAAGCATATATCATACAAAGGCAAATGAGGTCCAACGCAAGACCAATCAGTGTGGCTGATACTGTATATTTTTTAACTCATATATACTTTTTTTTCCACTTTTTTGGAGTACAGATCTGTGTTTGTCCAAAGCATGTTTGGCAAGGACACAGGGGCCCCATGGTCCCCTATTGCCCGGGGGCCCCATGAGTTGTCAGTCCGCCCCTGCACCTGACCATCACACCTGGAAAGAAGGGACATAGAAGAGTGATGGCAGAAAAAAGACCAAGTAGTACATCGAGTGCGCCATTTTTTTTAATATACTGTATATTTTTTTAACTCATATATATACTTTTTTTTCCACTTTTTTGGAGTACAGATCTATGTTTGTCCAAAGCATGTTTGGCAAGGACACAGGGGCCCCATGGTCCCCTATTGCCCGGGGGCCCCATGAGTTGTCAGTCTGCCCCTGCACCTGACCATCACACCTGGAAAGAAGGGACATAGAAGAGTGATGGCAGAAAAAAGACCAAGTAGTACATCGAGTGCAACATTTTTTTTAATATACTGTATATTTTTTAACTCATATATACTTTTTTTTTCACTTTTTTGGAGAACAGATCTATGTTTGTCCACAGCATGTTTGAATCCACTTACTATTGACAGACTCACTTCCTCTGATGGAAGTCTATTCCAGGAATGGACTACTCTTTCAGTAAAATAATACTATCTAAGATTAGTTTTGGACTTTCCTACTAGTTTGAGGTCATGTAATGTTCTGTGAGCTTTTTGGGCATCCAGTTCCAACAACATGGCTAATATGGAGCCCTTTGCAGCTATAACAGCCTCCACAAGGCTTTCTACAAAATTTTGGCGTGTGTCAGTGAGAATTTTTGGTTATTCGGCCATAGGAGCGTTTGTGAGGTCAGGTACTGATGTTGGATGAGAAGACCTGGCTGGCAAACTGGAATTACTATTCATCCCAAAGGTGTTCAATAGGGTTGAGGTCAGGGCTCTGTGCAGGCCAAACTAGATACTGAAAATATTATTATTATTTCAGGTACTTTATATAGTGCTGTCAATTTATGCAGCACTTTACATATATATTGTACATTCCCATCAGTCCCTAACCCTCAAGGGGTCTACAAACAAAGGTCCCTAATTCACATTCATACATACACATACTAGGGACAATTTAGACACAAGCCAATTAATCTACCAGCATGTCTTTGGAATGTGGAAGGAAACTGGAGTACCTGGAAGAAACCCACACAGGCACAGGGAGAACATGCAAACTGCAGACAGGAGGTGCTGTGGCTGGGATTTGAACCAAAGACCCAAGTACTGCCAGGTGGAAATGCTAACCATTTAGCCACTCTGATGCCCAGTGCTTGTGATCACACAGGAAGGAATACTATTATTTATTTATTTCAGGTACTTATATAGCGCCGTCAATTTACGCAGCACTTTACATATATATTGTACATTCACATCAGTCCCTAACCCTCAAGGGGTGTACAATCTAAGGTCTCTAACTCATATTCATACATACACATACTAGGGCCAATTTAGACAGGAGCCAATTAACCTACCAGCATGTCTTTGGAGTGTGGGAGGAAAACAGAGTACCTGGAGGAAACCCACACAGGCACAGGGAGAACATGCAAACTCCAGGCAGGTGGTGCCGTGGCTGGGATTCAAACCAAAGACCCGAGTACTGCCAGGTGGAAGTGCTAACCATTTAGCCACTCTGATGCCCTGTGCTTGTGATCACACAGGAAGAAATACTATTAGGTCCAGTTTACTTCTATTCACATTGTTTTCAATCAAGCCCTGATGAAGGTGGCATTTTTGGACCTCTGAAACACAATATATACTGTTTGGATTGCTTCCCTGACTTTTACTGGTATAAACTCATATCTAGACCTTTTAACAGTTTTAAAAATTTACATTTTTGTTACATTACACTAGAAGCCAAGGAGAATGTGGAGATCCTCTGGAGTGTAGAAGTCACCTGCCTGGGAACCAGATTAATTACAACAAAACGTTAAGATAGTGTAGCACTACCCCTTTAGGAGTCGCTGAGTTTTGGGTCCCCCTATAGTCCTTCACAGCCAGGCAACACTTATTTTCCAAACAGACTTGCAACCAGGAGCCGGTAACCAGTCCTTGAGCTTGGTTTTTTGGATTTTATTAGGGAATGTAAACCTGGATGGGGTAAGGGGTGTATGGGATGGCCAAGGGAATGGCAACAGAGGACAATCTTCCTGTTACTATATACAAGTCTCTTTAATTGCAAAAATTCTCTTCTTGGAGAGCTAGTGTATATTTCCCAGATACTCCTATCTCAGTGGGCTCAGTGGGCACCGGACTCAGTGAGGGGGAGCACACACAGGCAGGGAATGCAGGAGGAAATGACCTTAAGGCCGCCATACCAGAAAAGCAGCAGCCCAAACCCAAAGAGGGTTTACTGCCAGTATCCACCATTGGGCACAGCTAACTGGAGGGACAACTCCCAACCCACCCACACAACCACCCACCCAGGGGCGGACTGACCATTTGGAAACTCGGGCACTGCCCGAGGGCCCGGGTCAGTAGGGGGCCCCATGAGATGCCCCTGGTACCTTTTTCATAGGCTTTTTTGAGTTTGGGCAAGGACACAGGGGCCCCATGATCCCCTATTGCCCGAGGCCCCATGAGTTGTCAGTCCACCCCTGCTCCTATATCCAGCTGTCTGAAGGAATCCCTGGGCAGGGGATGCAGCGCCTGTCACTTAACATATAAGACAGCCCCGGGTAGCAAGCTAATCCAGTTTCCCACTAGAGTGCTCCTTCCCATTTCTGGGCTAGAGGGTGTAGGCCTACTCACTCAGTCCTCTGTCTGTGAGCTGATGGGTCAGTGGCTGTTCTCAGGCTTTCTGCTGGGCCACTTCTTCCCTGCTGCACAGGTGATCCTCACTCTGGGGGCCGGTGAGGTCCTGAGCTTTCTTCCTTCCCAGCGCCAGTGCCTGGAGGTGGGCCCCTTCACAACTGGGCCCCCTCCCAGGCTCCTGCACCTCAGGCTTCTCACTCCATCTTCAAACTCTCCTGCTGCTGATCAGGCTCCACTACATTTGAAGGTTGCCCTGGCCCCATGCCAAGCCTTCTGATTGGGGATTGACCAAGGTCCTCCAAGTGTGCAGGCCAGCCCCTCCTCACCCCACAGAATCTTAGAGCAGGGGGAGGTGTCAAGGAACTGACCTACAAAGCCTCTCAGCCCTGACCTGAAATAGCCCCCTCTAACTCAGCCCAGGCTGCTATTCAGCCTTTCTAGCTGAAAACCTAATCTAGCTATCTAGGAGGGTGCTACAATAGCAATACATAAGATGACCTTACAGGTTCAGCACTATTTGTCCACTTTCTTCAGCTTTGTGCCTATAAAAGCCTTCACTCTTCTGAGAAAAGCTTTTCATTAAATTTTGGATTGTGTTTGTGACCCATCACCCAACAGGACATTGGCTGGACAATCTGGAATTTCAATGCACCCCAAAGCTGTTCAGTAGGGTTGAGGTCAGGGCCCTGTGCAGGACACTCAAGTTCCTTCAAACTAAACTTATAAAACCATGTCTTTATGGAGCTGGCTTTCTACACAGGGTGGAACAGAAAAGGGCATTTACCAAATTGTTACTACAACAGTGAAAGAGCACAATTGTGTAAAATTATTATTATTATACAGGATTTATATAGCGCCAACAGTTTGCTCAGCGCTTTACAATATAAGGGAGACAGTACGATTACAATACATTTCAGTACAGAAGGAATAGGAGGGCCCGGCTCGTGGAGCTTACAATCTAAAGGAAGGGGGAGGTGATACAAAAGGTGATAGCTGCGGGGGATGATCTGGCGGAGGTGATTCAAGTACAGTTCTTAGGTGGAGGTGGGATAGGCTTCAAATGTGTTTGTATCAGGGGCGGACTGACAACTCATGGGGCCCCTGGGCAATAGGGGATCATGGGGCCCCTGTGTCCTTGCCCAAACTCAAAAAAGCCTATGAAAAAGGTACCAAGGGCATCTCATGGGGCCCCCTACTGACCCCGAGCCCTCGGGCAGTGCCCGAGTTTCCAAATGGTCAGTCCGCCCTTGGTTTGTATGTTGTAGCAATAACAGGACCCTTCACTGGAGATACCTGAACTCAATCATTTAAAGAGGAGCCCATATACACTTGACAATAGAGGCAGGCCTAATGGTCAGATGTCCACCATCTTGAAACTTCTGAACTCTATTTGGAATGGTTGACCATGAAGGTAGGTATGATTCTACGGTCTGTACAAACGTTTGCCCACGCATTCTTTGAAAAAAATATCTTTGAAGCTGTGGTGTTAGTAGGGTTAAAGAAGACCCAGGTCACTCTTGGGAAGACATTGTGAAAAGCCATGAAGAACAGGGCTCATGGTATTTGTTCTCTTTGTGCCTTCTCTCTCTTTTTTTTCTTTTTTTTGCTTCCTCCCCATCCTCTTTTTACTAGGGTCCCTATTTCATAGTACCTTTTGGTATTCCTTAATTCCCGGTTAAACCCCAGAGTTCCATATTCAACTGAAAAGAGCAAGAAAAAAATACTTCCCAAGTACATATTCCATTGATAACTACGGTACATATAATGCTGTTACAGCCTGCATACGCTATGGATAAATTCAATGCGAGCCACTAAGAATACCACCAAATTCATGAATGTATACGGTTTTACCTGACAAAAGTTCTGCAACCCTATTCAGCCAGTCTAATGATTTAAGTACCCTGCCAAAATGCATAGCCAGGTCTCTGACATCACTTTTCTCTAGTACAAGTTGGAAAAAAAAAACTTGGTCAAGGACCAGCGCATAGATTGTAGACTGAATATTGAAGCTGATGACGCCGTCATGCTCCATCCTTTTCATGAAATCTTCCTTTCTTAAGCCAGCCATACACTAATAGAATCTCATCTGAAGTTTTTCAGTTTAAGAACATTTATTCAATTTATTAATTGCTGGTGGGGAGAAATTGATATTCGTGTTTGACCAGCAGGACTGAAAAAACAAACACATTTCTAGCAGTGTATGTGTTTTTCATTCTAGATATCACATTCACTGCAAAATCAAGTGTTAAAAACACACAAAATGTTGAAGTACTTTCGAATGACAATGGACAAGTCATTCAATGTACAGAGAATATTCGTATGAATCTTCGTAGGTACTTTCATTTGAAAATCTACTAGTACGTGGCCAGCTTTAACATGACAACACTGTGTAGGACAGTATAGCCCAGGGGCAGACTGACAACTCATGGGGCCCCCGGGCAATAGGAGATCATGGGGCCCCTGTTTCCTTGCCCAAACTCAAAAAAAGCCTATGAAAAAGGTACGAGGGGCATCTCATGGGGCCCCCTACTGACCCTGGGCCCTCGGTGTCAGGGCAGGGCTGTGGAACGGACAGGTAGGCCTAGTGGCAGGGTAACGTACTGACTGACGACAACCACCACCAACAGACCGAAGTCCCTCAGGGCGCGGAGTCTAAGTCCCAGGCTGCCCTTCACCTGGGCCCCTGATGGTGGGGATGGACTTGACGCAGCCAGGAACCAGGTCGCGGCCCCCAAGACACCCCGGCTGTGGTAATGGCCGCCGCCAATGGCATGTAGCTGGTAGGAATGACAATAATGTAGTCAGGCAGGCCGGGTCGAGAACAACGGGACAAAACGGTACAGAACAGTGGACAAGAATCACAGGTCACGGGCCGGGTTCAGCAACGGAAGGTCAGATCAAAGGAAAACACAGAGAATGGTCTAGTCACAAGCCGTGTCAGATTCCAGAAGAGTCACGAGAGTATGAACAGAGCTGTAGCAACACAAAGACACAAGACACAAGTGCAAAGAGCATGTGCGGATCACAGGCTTATATGTAATCAGCCCTCTGGGGGATGGACCTCAGAGACCTGAAGGCATAAAAGACTCCCACCATGCTCTGCAGAAACCCAAGATGGACGCCAGCACATGAAGCCGCACAATCTCTGGGAAAAGGTAGGACCTTGACACTCGGGCAGTGCCCAAGTTTCCAAATGGTCAGTCCACCCCTGGTAGAGCCTGGTTGGTTAAGGGTGCCTGCCTCTCCCAAACATAGTCTAGGCATGCAGTGAGATGCAAGAGGCTAATACACAAACAGCTCTGAGTACTAATTCTAGAAATGTATTTCATTTTTCATGCACATACTGTATGTGTGCAACAGACAAATGGTAGATGTATTAAAAATGGTTTTCATATCTGCTCAAAGTTCAGCTATTAACTGTCTACATTCATATCTATTTTCTATCTGCCACAATCTTTGTCCATCAATGTGCAGCTGAACAGATCTTTATTTATTATGCAGGAAAATGCAACATTTATATTGGTTTAAAGTAATATTAGAAGTCAACGAGGGGTTCTATATACGCATCAAGCAGCATAAAGATGTATTACTTTTTCCATGCCATCTCTTTGTAGCTCCTAGGAGGCTTTTAGGGATTAAAAGAAGTATAATTTTGCCAAGGTTCACAAAAGTTATGTGATCTTCAAGGGTTGAAGAAATGCTAGCGCACACATTTACGTATATATACTGTATATATATTTAGATATATAAATATTCCTATCTTTGTACATTGTTGAACACCCTTTTAACCTTTCAGATTTATGGCTTCAAGGTAATTAAAAAAACATTGGAAAGCAGAGAATTACAGCCCCCTTCAGATGGCAAGAGGGTTAAACCAACATCTGAAGGACCCAACAATAGAAGGGTGGCTCGCATGCACCTGGGTACCGCCCTTTGTCTTGGCCACCACATGCCCTCAACAAGACAAGCGCTCAACACCAAGAGAACGGTGCTCAACTTGGCTAGTCGTCATTTTCAGCTATAAGGATCAGTCCCACAGGGCTAGTATATATGGCCATAAAATACAATCCGCCTCTGGACAAAGTCCCAATTCCACTTTCCCTTTTACGATAGGCAAAATAACACGGGCTTATTGGCCAGGAACACAGAGCCTGGAGCCACACTGATGTCCCGCAAAGGTTCTCCTGTCACTGGAAAATGACTCAAATCTTAATGGGGAGTCGTAAAAATGCAAAGTAAGGAGATTGACAAAACGCCCAATACATGAACTGGATGGAAGTATAGACTGAAAAAAAAAATACGATACATATGTAGATAGAGAGAGAGAGAAAGATAGATAGATAGATAGATAGATAGATAGATAGATAGATAGGATAGATAGATAGATAGATAGATAGATATTAGATAGATAGATAGACAGATAGATAGATAGATAGATAGATAGATAGATAGATATTGGATAGATAGATAGATAGATAGATAGATAGATATTAGATAGATAGATAGATAGATAGATAGATAGATAGATAGATATTGGATAGATAGATATTAGATAGATAGATAGATAGATAGATAGATAATAGATAGATAGATAGATAGATAATAGATAGATAGATAGATAGATAGATAGATAGATAGATAGATAGATAGATAGATAGATATTGATAGATAGATAGATAGATAGATAGATAGATAGATAGATAGATAGATAGAGAGATATTAGATAGATAGATAGATAGATAGATAGATACAGAGATATAGGATAGATAGATAGATAGATAGATAGATAGATAGATAGATAGATAGATAGATAGATAGATAGATAGATAGATAGATAGATAGATAGATAGATAGATAGA